CAGCAATCGAATGCGTTTGAACTTTGGATCCTACACTCTCCCCACTTTCCGTAGCATAATTTCTACCGAAATTGGGGACAATACAAAACGTCTCCTTTCACTATCCATATATATGGGCAAGCAAACTCAATACTCTATTGGCCATTGCAAAACTAGAAAACACACCCAGTGCTTAAAATATGGCAATAATTTGTGGAATTCACTACGTAAAAATATACAAAAAAGATGAGAGTGCCAGGCACTGATGTTGCCGACGATCATTATCTGCCGCCTAGTGTCCACATCATGTTCTTACTGATGTTTTTGTCCCTATTGCCGTTATGCGGTATACCAATGAATATAAATTTTACAATAGTTTCAATCTCAGGTTCTTTTTTTTTTTATTTTATTAGCAAAAGAAGTTACTAAATAGCAAATTGCATAACTCAAATGTGTGACCACTTAGAACCGATGTCAGTCCACTAAGTTAGACGGGTTTAAAATCTCGTCCTATAAGTTTTGGTAGACGTGAATCCAACATCGTAATACTCACTGGAGTACTATAATAGAGAACATATATATATATATATAATAATTATATTACAATCCATCTTTTAACCAACTATATCATGACAATTATTAAAAAGAAAGACTTTTGATATTAAGCTTTTTCCTCCCTTCTCTTCTTATCAAGGATTTTGATGTTATAATTTATTACATGATAGATTATAACATAAGATTCTATATATATATATATATATAGATTATATATATATATATGACAGTCCAAAATCAGATCGACGTGGACTCTAGTCCCAAGATTATGCCGTACAACCGGCTATTCACTGGCTTGGTGGACCACACTCAAACATCATTTTTCGGTACCAGGGACCACATAGAAATACCACGACTCACGCCAAAATGCCAACTACAATGTCTCTACAAGGCACTTGACAGCTTGCTCCTTTTTTCCCCTTTTTGTAGTGTCATGACTCATGACAAAACAGTTTCTACGTACCAAAATAAAAACATGAGAAGACCATCATACCCTTTTTTTCCTTTTGGAAAATTTGGAGGATCGATGAATTTTCGTCATAAAAATGGACCATAACCTTGATAACTATCAAGGTCTAATGGTACACTCGCCGGTGCAACTAACGCTCCAAGTTAATGCAGGGTTTAAACTTTTGAAGAAAGATAAAAATAATTTTAATATATTAGATGCATATATTAATTTTTACTTCGATTTCATTTGACAACGAGGTGTATATTACTCTTCATAAATATTTACAAAATTTTTTATAACTTGTTAAATTATCCCTCTTTATTTTTTTTAAAGAAATATAAAAATCATCTTATTTAAAATTAATAAAATTTTTAAATAATTTAATATAATTTTTAAATTTTTTTCATACATTATATATTAAATTGTTAATTAATTTAATTTTAAATAATAATATGTCTAATTAAATAATTTTTCGATAAATAATTCTTTTGAAATATAATTATTAAATATTAATATATTTTTTTATAACAATACTATACAATATTTTTAATAGTAACAATTACAACTATGAAGCAACAAGAAACAGTATTATCAAACTAAGCTGTAGTTCAAAAATAAAATTATTTATTCTCTTAATTATATATCTAAAATGTAAACTCTTACTTTCTCTATAAAAAAAAAAAAATTATTTTTTTAATATGAACTAGCATTCATAAAATGTGCCACCTAAAGTTTAAAAAGTTAGTATGATTATAATGTTAAATTTAAAATGTTGGTAGTATGATATATATTGAAATTAATTAAAATAATTACAAAAAAAAAGTAAGAGAATGAGTACCTGATGGCCGAAGCAAATTCCAAGAACCTTTTTTTCCGTGGAATCCAATTTCTTGAGAAGCTCCATGAGCTTACAGATCCAAACGTCGTTTCCGTGAGCATCATTGCAGCTTCCGGTGATCACGAAACCGTCGTAGAGTCCGATCTCATTGTCGTCTGGAAACTCGCCGCTGGCCACGCGGAACACGTCCCACTCCTCCCCCTCCTCCCCCAGCATTTTCACGAACACGCCGAGGTAGCCGCCGTACTTCCGCTTCACGTAATCGGAATCCTGCGCGCAAAGAAGAACAGCGAATCTCTTCACCTCCGTACCCACTCCCATCCTCAAAACCACCACCACGCCCGTGAAAATTGAATCGCTTTCTCTCTCTCTCTCTCCAAACAGGAATGGGGTCTAGAGAGAGAAAGGGAGAGGGAAACGGAAGTTACTAACACAGAGACAGAGGAACGGGGAGATCGTAGAGGGCGTATTTAACGTCGAGGTGATCAGAAGCCACTGTGGCACTGTCAGCGTAATTTACGATTGTAACCTTTCACAGTTAGACCTTTTTGCCCTTCTTTCATGCATCCGTATCAATTACGTT